GCAAGGACAGGGAATCAAGTTTGTTTTAGGTTGCAACTGTGCGTGCAACTTTCTGGAAGCTCCACCGAAGTATTTTTCAGTAGAGTTTAGCCACTGATTTAGCATGAGCCAGCAGGAGTCAGTATAGCTAGCATTCATGCACAAAGTAGTATGTGGTCAGTGGTTGGACGGTGAACATTGTCCTCTCGCCCAGTGCCATGTGCAACAATGATTACACCTATCTGTGGCACTGTCCTACATAGGCATGGGAACCTTGGCAGAACTGTGCTGGCAGAGCTCACGAAGTGCTTTCGATCTCTGTTTTGGATTTGCGAGAAGGAAACTGATGTACACAGGCTCAGGCCGTGTTGCAGGTTGAAGACCGCCAGAAGGTCGAGCCGTCAAAGCGTCCGATTCTCATTTCCAGAGAACAGCGGAAACCTATCGCCTGCAACTCTGCTTGAAGAGTGAGAAGGGCTCTGGTTCGGATACCCATGGGCCTCCGTGTTCCGATGCATTTCGTGGTAGCCCCACATCCACAGCTCACCCATGTTTCTCGAAACCCGGAGGCTGCGGCACGAAAGAATGCAGCGCGGCAGCCGTGTGCTGGATTGGTAGTGTGAATTGTTGCTCTGAAAATCTCGTGCTGCATATGGGAATGTACGGAAACAGCTGTGCCCCCGTAGACTTGCACCGCGCAAGCGAAACCTCATTGCCACGTTTTTCTCGCAAGCTGCTCTTACTCATCGGGCTCCGACACTTCATATTAATATAGGGGCCTTAATAATTAGAATAGGGTCTGGGGATATACTATACTAACTATAATAGTAATAATAACAATATCTTTTAATCGTAAGTTAATATAAAAAAGGATGAAGATGGTTTATAATTTTCAATAATAATAAAGAAGTTCATGAAGGCTCCCATACTTAAGGCACAGCGGACATTCCCGCGGCCCAGAGTCGCCGAAGCTGCTGGCAACCCAAAGAAGCCCAATATACCTTAATTAAGGAGTATACCTTAAATTATAGGGGCCTTAATCTTATGATTTAAGGTTTATATTCCTTAGTTGAGGAATATACCTTAAGTTATAGGGGCCTGAATATTATGATTTCAGGTGTATATATTCCTTAATTAAGGGGTATTGGGCTCTCTGGGATTTTTGAATGCCGGCAGATGTTCAGGAAGAGCCCGTTGGGTGGTCAGGCAAATACAGCCCACCACCTCTTTGTTTCGCCAATGCTGCCCCATACTTAGCGCAGGCAAACTCACCAGCCATGAGCCCAGGTCGTAGACTGCTCATTTCGAGTGAAACTTAAGTGGGAGGTAGAGGGTCTGGAGTTTTTGTCGGAATGCCTGAGAACCAGAGGCACAGCGTATACTATGCTGTCTTTGGTTAGGAGGCGGCCACTCAGAGTCTGGTCCTCCGAAGAGTGGCATGTGTCCCCGCACTTTGGCTGCTGTGAGTTTTTCACTTAGAGGTATATACTCTCCCACGCCTTGCATTGGTACATGTGCACCACTAGCCTCACTAGCCCTGTAGCCTCGACAATGAAAGGTACGATGCCGTCAGAGAACTGCGAAAGCATGCTAATCATGTGTTGCCCGCAGCTCGGTTCTGCAAGTAAAGCAACTGCATCTGCAGGGAAGTGTGAAGAAACCCAAGGTTTTCAATCGTATTTGTCGCTACGCTCTACATGAAGTGACTCGCACTGGTCAGGATGAAGCTACACATGCAAAGTAGCAATCGCAAGAGTTTGGGTGAGACTAGGTAGTCATAGCGGAAGCTCCTCTTCGGAGACCTCTGAGAGACCGCCAGCAACTGCACACGCGCTCTGCGCTCCTCTGAAGGCAGAGTCTGGACTGAAGAGTCCGAGTTGTTGCCCAGTACGTAGATGATATGACCGACAACTCTGAAGAAGGTTTTCCCAGTGTTCGATTCTCCCAAAGTGCGGCATCTGAAGTGTTGCTGAAGGAAGCCGCTGTGATTTCGTGATGCAGCTGCAGCTTTGAATCTAACGCTTGGACGATTAATTGCGAGCTGTCCTTCAAGCAGGTGGGCATAGGATCGAGACGGCACTTGCGAAGCTCGGAATGGACCCGCCGTCATCAGAAGCCCATTTATTGCTGATTCGCCGCTTGCCCGCCGACACCGACAGTCGAAACAAGTTCTTTCTGGCTGTTGCCATAGTCATTGGGTTGGGAACCGAAGTCTATCGAAAAACAGCCAGACATCCTTCATCCTTAACTGGGGCCAAAAAAGCCCCCCTACGTTTAAGAGCTTGGTCTCCAGAAAAGGGATGTTGAGCAGCTCTTTTTCGGAGCTCGTCATCCGTTCTTCGATCAAAACATCGGATGGGAACCGGGGAAGCGGCGATGCAGCGATGCTTTCCAGCCGGGAAGCTCCACGAGCCCTTTACTTTTCACTTCGTCCACGCCTCTTAGTATCCGGAGTGCTACAGTCGTGTTCATGTTTTTCGTGCGGAGAGCTCTTCTCGTGGTGAGTCCTTGCGGAAATTTTGAGGAAAGATAGGAGGTGAGCCCTGACCGCATGCCGTTGGGTCCTGGAAAATCGTCAAGGAAGCCGCACCCTCGAGTTCGGTGGGCTTTGCAAGAGTTAGGTCATGGGCGAAAACTGCTACCCCCAATCCCAAAGCCCTAATATAGGAGCCTTAATAATTAGAATAAGGTTTTGGTGGTTCTTTATTATAACTATAGTAGATTATACCCCAAAACCCTATTCTAATTATTAAGGCCCCTATATTAAACCCTATAACCATCTGCTTCAGGCCCGAGACAGACGCCCCCACCCCAGCTGCAACGCCATGTCGCGGGCAGCAAAAGAGAACGCTCAAGGCTCGCCCCAATCGGACCGCGGGTTCCTAGGGCCGTTGAGGCTTCAACCAGGGGTTTGGGTAAAGAGGTTTAGGGTTTCGGGTTTGAGGGGTTGAGGGTTAAGGCTTCGGAAAGGGGTTCGGGTGCAGATGTCTAGATTTTTTTGAAATTTGGGCTTTGAAGCTTGGGGGGTTGGGGATTTAGGCTTTCGGGGTGGGTTCAGGTTTAGGGGTTAGGGTCCAGGGCACCCCCCAAGAGGATAAAAGCGCCAAGTACTAGTAGGGCCTGCGTGCGTTACCTCAGCATCTCTCAAGGAAATCCGCAAGGTTGGAGCGTGGGAAGTTTCAAGGAAACCCTCAACCCTAAAACGGTTTGGGGCTGAGGACGTTCAGGACGTATAGTCGAAACCAGTCCGCAAGATCTGCATGGAAGAAAGTTCCTTGGGGTGCCTTTCATAATTTTGGCATAGTATACCCCAAAACCCTCTTCTCAATCATGGCATCATATAGCCCAAAACCCTATTGAAATTATTATGGCCCGCAAGCAGCGGGAAACACAAGTGTTCTCAGAGGCCCTGAGACCCCGATTGCCTATGCCCCAGATAAAGGGGGCTAAAAATACTAAGACCTAGAAACTTGAGCTCTAAACCCTAAACCCTAA